AGATTCCATATGGAGAGCTGTCTGTGTGACCCTTTCCCCAGCAAGAACATCCTCTGGAGACAAATCCTGCCCACCTGAGCTGACCCTTTCTTATGATCTGTCTCTGTCCCTAGGTGACCCTCTCCCCCAACACTGATGACACGTGGGTCCAAGCACTCCAAAGGCAGGGATCATAAAGTGTGGTGTGCAGTTTGGATGCACGTGTGAAAGGGATCTGAGGAGTCCAGAGGCAGAAGCACCCCCTGGGTCTGAGAGGGAGGATGGACAGATGCGTTAGAGATGCCTTAACACCACACTCAGTGACCATGCTTTTATTTTTTAATTTCTTAATAATGAAAGTAAAGTATATTTGCTTCTGAGTATAGCTTTAACTCTAGTCTGTAAGTTTGGGGACCTTACTGCTGTTTAGTTTGAGTTTCTTTAGTGACTACTAAGATTGTACATTCTTTATGTTTCATCACTATTGGCCATTAGTATTTCTTATTTTATGAAATTTCATTCTTACATATTCCCCTCTCATTACTACTTAAGCTATGCATCATTTTCTTAATGATTTATCTGCTACACACTTCGAAATGAATCAGCATTTTTGTTTCACTCTGCTGTTTTACTTTTATGAAGAAAAGATTTACAAGTTTTTTGTGTAGTCAGATGAAACATTTTTGTTTTATGTTTTCCACTCTGATATCATTAGATAGTTCTTCTTCTATCCAAGACTATATAAATCACTACCTCTAAGTTTGTCTTATTTTTAATTTTATACATATAACTAAAAGAATGTTTTTATTTTTCTGCTAAATGCTTAACCATTTAACAGAGTTATTAATTGATTGGTTCATTGTTTTCTTGTAGTTTTGATCATGTATTTTTTTAATTTTATCTTTATTGTATTTTTTTCATTTCCATTTAATCTCCTTACACCACCACCCCCAGTGTGGTGATTGCTGGGATTAACCTATTTTTATCATGCATGTATAATGTATATGTGTATACATATTGGGCATTTAGGGTAGTTTTTACATTGTTCTATTTATTCTTATATCAGTAACACACTGTTGCAATTATGTTAGTTTTCTAAAACTTTTTAACCTAAGATGAACAAATCCTTTCTCATAATGTTATTTAAGTATTTTTCTGACCATTCTGGGATGTTTATTCTTTCAAAAGACCTCATCATGAGGTCTTCCCAGCCCAACTTCTTTTTGAAACTGAGGCTTTGGAGAATTCACATCCTCATCCTTTTCTTATCCTCTCAAGCCCTCTGTAGCCATGGTCAGTTACGCTGGGCTTTCCTAAATTCACCCTGGTTGTATGCACCCCTTCCTGCCCTGATCCAGCTTACTGGTCACACAAAGTATTTGCTTGGCCTGAAATTGTCACCTGACCTTTTGGCCCTAGCATGGCCCCAGCTATTCAGGGAATTAACATAAGTACAGAAGGGCTGGCAGTGGGGCTGCACTGATATTTCCTCAGACCACAGAGCCTAGAAACATCTCAAAAACTCTTTATTCGGCCCTATAGTCAGGCATACAAATAGGAATTAAGGATTTCCTTCACTCAACTACTTCGTTTATTAACTCTGTCTACTTACTAAACAAATATGAAGAGTGCTGTTTTGCTCAGAGGGCCCTCGTGAGTGCCTTTGTGGCTCAAAGTTGCTTGAGTCAGGTGGTCTGAGGGAGACTGCTTGCTCAAGTAAATGGAAGTCAAATAGGTTCACATTCTAAAATTATCCAGTAAAGATGGGGCTACCTATGCTGAAATAACAATCCCCAAATATCACTCAAGGTCCAGGTAGATCCATCCAAGTGATCCTCAAAGACAGTTGTTCTCTGCACATTGGCTCAGGTGGTCAGAATGCTGGGTTACACAATAACATCATAACCACCGATGCTTCTGCTCTCACCATAGCCATGGGAAAGGGGGCCCTTCAGAACTGTGTACTGGCCAGTTCTGTTTCCACCCAGAAGCAACACTGGTCACACACCTGCCTTCATAGGGTCTCTCTTATTGAAACTGAGGGGGAAAAACAGTAAAATCTACCATAGGATATCTGCTATGAGCCATACAGAGGCGTAACAGTCACAATTAGATTAAACAATAGTGAGTGTCTTGGCCTCTAAGTAACTTGGTGATTGCACCAAGAGATGGCTCTCTCCTCTTCCTGGCTACAACGTTTGACAGTCATCCACTCATTTCAAATCTCCTTGCTGAGCTCCTCAGCTGTGCACAGGAACACAAGTCTACACCTTATCCCTGATGTTAGGCACATGTAGGGCTGTAGCATCTATAAAGGTAAGACCAGCAACTTGGATAAAGATTTGACTTATGACTTAATATTTTGTTCCCCCAATAGATATCTGGTTTCTCTGCTCTAGTATAAAACTCACAGGTAACTTGAAAATACAAAGTACACCATTAAATCCGAATTAAGGATACCAGGAAGATAAGAATGATTGAGAAGAGAGATTGACTGAACTTAAACAACTCAGTGTCAGTGTTTCATATGAAGGGAATTCAGAACAAAGGTAGGATCCTAAGAAAGCCCACACTTCACAGTGCACTCCATGTCACTTCATTATGGGATGTGGGCTAGTTTGTGGCACAAGAGTTCCTGGTTCCTGTGGAACCAGGAAGTGATCTGAGAATATTCTATTAAACTGAACAGCAGCTTCCCTATGAAACTGCTGTGGTTGTCACCCTCCAGACATAGAAGGACCCCAGTCTGCTCCCATGATTCACCTGGCATTGTAAAGGGTAACAACATCTCTTGAGTTGTAAGTCCTGTCTTCACTTGGCACCTAGGCTACTAAACTAGAGACCATGGCTACTTATGGTGGGGGTGGTTCCATTAGTGTTTAAGATCTGTGTTGACCTTGGCCCATAAATGTGAGTGCAGGAGAAATTTCTGTGCTCAGGATGGGTTAAGACCTAAATTTCCTGAAATACTTGCCTTAGTTCTCTGCTTCAGTGGGTCTATGTCTACAGAATCCAAATCACCCCTCCTTCTTCTTCTCTGCACTAGAGAACAAACCAGTTCCATGCTGGGTGGAGCTTAAGCCTCTTTCTAGAACTTGGGGTCTCAACACTACTGGCTTTCAACACCACAAGAGATTTTTTTCTTCCTCCTGGGTCACATAATTCTGCCATTTTTTCCTACACTCTTGTCGAGAAATGTTTGGCTTAAGCTCTGGGGTGGGTAGTGGTCACTTTTAGATGGTCTGTGCAGATTACCATGACATTGCATACATCCTTGTTACCATATTGTTCTGTGTAGCCGACCCCACAGGTTTGGGTTATTAGACCAGAAGTTGGAATATGAAAGAGGGAGATTCATTTCTACAGGAATATTGACTTGACATCCAAAAACAGTTTCTGATCTCTGTGTGACATGAGATTCCCTGTGATTGGGCAGCTGAGAGACTGGAAGCAGAGGGAGTATGAAAAAAAAAAGGAATAGAGGCAAGGATGCACGGAGGGAGGCAGATGGAGGGAGGCTCCCAGTGTTACTTGTGCAACACAGTCCTCGAGCCACTTCAGAACTCTTTGATTTTAGAAAAAAACTCCTCTTTCTGGTTAAACCACATCCAATTGTTTTTCTTTCTATTTGCAATGAAAAAAAGTCTTTCTAAGCTCCCCAGCTGATTATGTCCAGTTGTAGTCCCTATACTTAAGATTATTTGCTCACTGTTAACCATAACTGACATATTTCAGAAGCTGCCAAGAATTAGGGATTTTTTTCATCACAGCAAAAAGATCTTAGCAGAGAGCTGAGTTGTGTGCTATTGGGAGGTAAGGCTTTTTGTTTTCAGATATGCTGTCCTACATGAGATATGGCCACAAGAGACTTGGGAAGAGGGGTAGAGATTAGGGGTCCCATTCATGGGGAGCCAGAAAGGGCAGTCTTCCCAGTGCCTGGTAGCAAAGGAGAATGGTTGCTTTCCTGTCTGGGGTATTTGTTACCCTCTCCCAGAAGCTTGTGGTTTGCTTAGTGTCATCCCAGTTCCTTAAGCACAAGTGCCATTAAACTCAATACACGTGGGCATGTGGCATAAAAATTTACAAGTCAAAGTATAAAGTTTGGAGTCAAAAGACCTTTCACATGGCCAGGCTGCAGCACTGATACAACCTGTGGCCCCATACAAGTCTCCTCCCCTCTCTGTGTCTTGGATTCCATATCTGTACAGTGAGGGAGGGGATCTGCCTAGGTTGTCTCTGAGGCAGAGTGGAAAAAAGAACCTCCTGCAACTGTCAGGCATGAGGAGGACTGTGAGCATGGCTGGATGCCCTCTGTGTCTAATATTTCAGATGGCATTAGGATTGTGCTGGTGGTACTCCCTCCCATGATCCAGGAGGCATATTGACACAGATAGAAAGAGGTCCTGAGTAGCAAGATGAGGAGGAGGCTATGTGAGGAAAGACCATGCAGTGTGTCCAGGGAACAGATCTACCCACTTGCCATATCTACCCACTGTGCCGTGCAGTTTCTATGGCTCAGGCCTTGAAGCAAGATGCAGCCACTGGAACCTCCCAGCCCTTGGGCTCCAGCTTGCATGGGCTAGGGGAGTCTGGGGCTCAGGGAGAGGTCCAGAGCAGGGATACACATCTGGCTGTCATCAGTGGAAGGGATCGGAGCCATAGACAGAATGAGCTCATTCCTGGAGTGAGGGTAAGGAGAGAAGAGAAGGGGGCATTAAGGTCTGAGCATGTCACCATTAAGTGGTCAAGAAGAGGAGAAGGGACTAGCAAAAGGATGATAAGAACAGCTATAAAGATAAAATCAACTAAGAGTGGTGTCATGAAAGACAGGAGGAGAAAGAGTTACAGAGGAGAAGTTGAGCAGCTGGGTCACTTCTGTGGCTGACAATTTGAGAACACAGAGGGAACAAGAGGAACCACTGGATTTTGCAACAAGGAGGTCTTTGACACCCAATTTTATCCCTTGGGACTGGGAATGCAGGCTGCCCCTTCCTCCAATGACAGGTCACCAACGTGTGATGCCAGATTCATATTTTATTCTGAGAGAGGTATTCCACAGGAGCCCTACCTCTGACCTCATCCCATGGCTCTGAGGAGAAGCCGTGGCCAGCAGAGATGTCAGCTTCTTGCTGGGATGTTGGTAGCTCACAGGTTTGGCCCTGACTCACTGACCAGGCTCCTGGGCCACAAGTGCCCCATCCACCCTGGGTAGCTCAGAACTCACAGATCACAAGGCGCCTCTCTCCACAGGACTTATCATTCCACTTTCCATTGTCGTAGATTTCCACACAGTCCTCTTCCCCACCACTGTTGTTGGGCTCCCCTGAGTTCCAGTTGGAATACACCAGGGACTCCCCTGTGGGGTAGACAAACTTGCCCTCTGTCTGGGAGTCAGTCATGCTCAGGAATGCAGCCTTGTTATGAGCTGAGACCAGCTGCTGCAAGGCCCCATTCTCAGCTGCAGAGCGTGGGGAGGGCAACTGTCCCCCGGCCTGTCTGCATATTTGCTGTGCGTCCTGGAAAGATTTTTCAAAGCCTCCTGTCTTGAAGAACTTCTCTCCAACAACTCGGCCATCAGGAAACAGACCCACTAACAGAAGAAAGAGGACAGTCAGTTTTGGGTTCTGACAGCACCCAGCCAAAGCTCGGGGGACCCTTGTGCTCCAACCAGAGGCCCAGGCCTCCCATACAGGGTATCAGGGCACCAGATAGGACAAAAGTGAGACACTTGATACCAGAGTAACCCCAAATTACAATGCCCTCTATAAGGTGACTCTGAGGTCCCTAGTTACAGGTGAGAACCCTGGGCTCTGAGAGATTAAAAGGCTCCTTGTCACATAACCATCAAATGTAGAGTTAGGAATTAAACCTTATTTGATCTGACACTAAAGCTTACGCATGCTCTTTCCATTCCTCCCCACATGGCATACTAGAATACGTTCACCAATTAATAAAATTGGTAGATTCTATCCAGAATCTGGATAGAACTGGACTGATTTTGGCCATTGAAATGACACCATGCAGCCTGGGCCAGTCTATGAGACCATGGATAACAATGCAGGTGCTCACTCTGATCTCACTTGGAACCCATGTAACAGCAGGGCATGTGCCATTGTCAGAGGGTCTGTGCTGTTGGGGGGGGGTGGGAAAGGAGAAGAATGGGTGGGCCATCTCAGAGCAGTGATGTGCTAATCTCTGCACTGTGCGTAGCCCAATGCTGGCCTCATGGTGTGCATGTGGGTGAAGCCAGAGTGCTGGGTGAGGTGTTGAAGGCATCGGATCTGTGTGTGGGGGACAGAGAGAGAATCAGTGCTGCAGAGCCCTGTCTGGGAATCAGAAGGTTAGGTGTTCAGCCCACCTTGGCAATGACTGTCCAGGTGGGCAAGGGAGAGTCCATTTTTCCTAGAGTTTCCAATTTCTCATCTTTAAAGTGGAAATATATTTCATTAAACTATCACTTGTATGACATTTAACTATCTGTTTTTATTCTCCCTCATTTTCCATCCCTTTGACTTCTGGGTTCATGCATAAAAATCTTCAGGGCGCCTGAGAAGGCAGTGCCCCAAACTCACGGGCCTGGTCAGTAGCCCAGGCTGCACCCCAACCCACTGCCCTTGACCTGTGAGCACCTTCCACAAGGGCTCAGAGTGCACATTATCCACAGGTTCAAGACAGCACCCAGAGTAGCCTTGCACAAGGTCAGCACGAGATGTCACATGCCATCACATGCACATACATGGGTACACATGTGCATATACGAATACAGCCATGTTCCATCACAAGGTAATGGGAGCCCAAAAGGTCCATCTAGATGTGTGTGACTATCTGTGTGTGCCTGCATAAGATGCGTGTGCTCATGTATGCAGAGTGAGTGAGTACATGCACAAAACCTCGATACATAGGTACTTAGTGGGCTTTGGTGCTCTGGTGCCAACCCTATGCCTCACCCTCTATGCTTTCCTCCTTCAGGAACTCTTCTTTTTTTGGATCAGTGAGATTTGCTGAATAATTTGAATTCAAAGCTGACATCAGGGAGAGCAGGGGTCAGGGGGAGCAAAACAGGGAGAGAGGAGGAGATTCCCACAGGCACAGGACACTCGGGTGTGTGCGCCTGGAGGCCTCAGACTCCTCAGCATTCCAGGCATTGGGAGGAACATCTGCTCTGAATACCCAGATCCCAGAGACAACCGGCCCCCAGCCAGACTTAGGGCATGCCTCAGGTGAGATTCTCAGTGGCCACATGTGAACGTCTGGCTCTCACCAGCCTTGACCCAAGGACAGCATCCCAACTCCGAATCTCAGAGCAGAGTCTGCAATCTCTGCTGCTGTGGGCTGGGCAGCAACATCTTGGGGTGTTCCCACACCCAGCCCCACAGAGCTAAGAAATGCATCCTGGGTGGTTGGGTGTCTTCATATATGACAGGGACCAACACAGGGTCAGCAAGAGTGAAGGTCTGCTGGACTGCCCTGGGCTCAGGGCATTGATGTGGCTTGGATCACAGTTGTCTGTGATGTTGGGGGCATTCTGGAGCCGCATGGCCTTGGCCATGCTTCTGCCAGACCACTGAACTCATGGTAAGGGACACATCCTGCCACTTGTCCCTTGCATCTACTTCCAGTTCCAAGAACATGTGGCTGCACTGCTCTGTTCCACCCTTACCCTTAGCCCCACTCCCTGCCCCAGTCCCAGGTCCAGCCAGTCACCCCCTCCCCACTACAGTCCCAGACCCACGCCTGCCTCAGACCCAGCCAACTCTAAACCAAAACACAGACCCAGTCAGAGGCCTATCCCCAGTGTCTGCCTCAGGCTCAGGTCCAGGCCCAGGAACTCACCTTTCTTGTACAGAGAGAAGGCACCCTGAAGATGCTGTACCCGTCCCTGTAGGGCCTCCACCTGCTTCCTCAGAGCAGTGATGTCTGCAGAGAGAGAGGCAGACTGAAGAATAGTCCAGCACAGCCAGGGATTGGCTCAGAGTCTGGGCCTCAAAGGAAGGGTGCCCAGTTGCTGGCTTTATTGGGAGAGGGGTAAGGAGCTGGAACTGGCCCCCACAAAATCCATATCTGCTGTCACAACAGGCCCTGCTGCCTACATTTCCTGTGATACTGTTGTGAACAAACTGTCCCCTGAGCAGGTCCTTGCACCCCACTGATACTGATCCAGATGATACTGTCACTCCACATTGTGAGAATCTGACAGCACTTCCTTTGGGAGGTGGGGTGGGGGACAGGATTACATATTCTTCAAGTACTTCCCATCCCCTGGATTATTTGATGCTCAAAGCTATCCAATGAAGGGAATGGGAGCTGTGCTTGTCCCAATGACCAGATGGAAAAACCGCTCAGGCCTGCCCTGCACCAAGTAACAGAGTCTAAAACCAGAGCCCAATCTTCCTGCCTTCTAGCCTGTCAGCCTTGTCTGCTTTTCACGTACCCCTAAAACGGTCTGACCACTGAGTGGAAGGGCTGTCCCAAGCTGAAGAGAGCCCTCCTCCTTCCCCCACTAGTGGGGTTCCCAGAGCTAGGGGAGGCTACCTTACCTGGAAGCCCACTCTCTCCTTTTGCTCCTCTGTCTCCAGGAGCACCTTTGTCCCCCTTCAGTCCTGGGGGACCCCCGGCACCTGGAGGCCCCTGTGGGCCTATGGCTCCTTCAGGGCCTGAGATCAGAGAAGAAGAATTGAGTGAGCTCTGCACACATTCCCCAGATTTTCACCCTCACACAGACTGTTCCAAACACAGTCACACCCCCTTCTGTACGTGGACCATCTCCATCACCCAGCAACCGACCTTCCCTGTATACCAACTATCCCTGTGGCTCACACCACACTCCCCCCACATACAGAGAGTTCCTCATGCCCAGTGATGGACTCTCCTGGCAAGCCTACTAGATTCTTCCTACTGCCCAGTAATGCCAGCCCTGACCTGCTTGAGGGTGATGGCAACTTGACAAACTGCAGTATTTACAGCAGGCAATCTGAGAGCATTTACCCTTGATCATGGACTCCTTGCTTTCCCCCTCCTAGAACCAAAATTTTATCAGAAATGATACTTGACACTAATCATCAGGGAAATGCAAATCAATCCACAAGATATCACCTCACATCTGTTAGAATGGCTTTTATAAAAAAGACAAAGGGTAACAGTGCTGGTAAAGATGTTGAGAAAAAGAAACCCTTGTGCACTATGGGTGGGACTGTAAGTTGGTGCTGCCGCTATAGAAACCAATATGCAATTTCCTCAAACAATTAAAAATAGAACTAAAAAATAAAAGTATGACCCAGCAAAGCATTTCTGGATCTTTATATAAAGACAATGAAACACTAATTTAAAAGCTATCAGGCCCTGACTGGTGTGGGTCAGTGAGTTGAGCATCATCCTGTAAATGGGAAAAGTCACTGGTTCTATTTTCAGTCAGGGCACATGCAGGGTTGTAGGTGAGGTCTCTGGTTGTGGGTGTGGAAGAGGCAACCAACCGGTGTTTCTCCATCACACCGATGTTTCTCTCCCTCTCTTTCTCCCTTCCTTCCCCTCTCTCTAAAATAAATAAATAAAATCATTTAAAAAAAAAAAGAAAAGATATATGTACCCTCATATTCATTGCAGCATTGTAGTAATCAAGTAATAGAAACAAGCTAAGTGTCCACTGTGGATGAATGGATAAAGATGATGTGATACACATGCAGAGGAATATTATGCAGACATAAAAAGAAAAAATCTTGCCAATTGCAACATGAATGGACCTTCAGGGATTATGGTAACTGACATAATTCAAGCAAAGAAAGACAAAAAAAAACAGTATGAGCTCACTTATATGTGGATTCTAAAAGAAAGATAGAACTCATACAATAACTATACAGATCGGATTATTAGTGGTTGCAAGAGGTAGGAGCTGGGTGGCAGGCAAAACATGTGGAGATGGTGAAAATGTACAAATATCCAATCATAAAATAACTAATTCCTTAGAGATGTAATGTACAGAATGGTGATTATACTTGATAGCACTATATTGTATATTTTAAAATTGCCAAGATAATACATTTTAAAGCATTCATCACAAGAAAAAATATAACTATATGTGGTAATGGATGATCATTTCACAATATATACAAATATTGAGTCATTTATTATGTTGTAGGCCTGAAAATAATACAATGTTGTATGTCAATTATATCTCAATTTTAAAAATTGGAGAAGTCCTGTAACATACCTTTCAGTCCTTAGAAAATATACTAAATTATTATCTAATGCATCATTAAGTAATAAAAGTATGTTAGAAATACTATGTTCAATATGATTTGCTTTCAATAATATGTGGAGACATTGTAGGGTATGTGCACATTTAATATGCTTTGGAAAAAACATAGGAAAGGTTTATACAAAAATGTTAAGTTGTTTTTTTCTGAGTGGCATGATTAAGGTAACTTTAATTTTCTTCTTTTTGTTTTTCTGTAGTGACCATATATTACTTTTCTTTTGGAAAAATAACCAAACTTTTAAAAGGGATGTGTTACCTCAACAAAGGCTGCCTAAGCCAGAGATTATACAACATTTACCCAAAAAAACTAAAGGGAGCAAAGGGATATTAATATTTAAGACTTTTACACTTGCCCTGGCTGGCTCAGTGAATTGAATGCTGGCCTGTGAACCAAAGGGTTACTGGTTTGATTCCCAATCAGGGCACATGCCTGGGCCATGGGCCAGGTCCCCAGCTGGGGGCATTCTAAAGGCAATCACACATTGATGTTTCTCTCCCTCTCTTCCTCATTCCCTTCCCCTTGCTCTAAAAAAAGTAAATAAATAAAATCTTTAAAACATACTTTCTTTAAAAAAAGAATTTTACACTAAATTCTGTAAGTTTGGTGATTCTTTTTTATTGGGGTGACATTTATGTAATGTAAAATTAATCTCTTTAAAGTATATGGTTCATTGGCATCTACCAGCTTCAAAATATTGTGCAACTACTGTCTCTGTTTAGTTCTAAAACATTTAGTCACCCTAAAAGAAAATCTCATAGCCATAAACAGTCACTCCTTATCCCCCTATTTCTCACCCCAGCCCCTGGGTATTACAATTCTGCTTTCTGTCTCAATTACCTATTCTAGATATTTCATGTAAATGGAATCATACAATATATCACATTTTGTGTCTGACTTTATTAACTGGGAGTGGCTTCTTAAGGTTTATTCACCTTGAAGCATGTCTCAATACTTCATTCATTGGTATGGCTCAATAATACACTTTGAGTATGAATAGGACAGATTCCATTTATCCATTTATCAGTTGATGGGCATTGGTTTGTTTACATCTTTTGATTGTTGTGAATTAATCTGCTATAAGCATTCATGTCCAAAAAGAAAGATACAAGAGGGGAAGTGGATGTGGAGTGAGACAGGAAGGGTACAGAGGGGATAAATGGTGATAGAAGGAGAGTTGACTTCGGGTGGTGAACACACAACACAAGATACAGATGATGTATAATACATTGTAACCTCGAATGTATAGAATATTATTAACCAATATCATCCCAATAAATTCAGTTTTTAGAAAATGAGTAAGACTGATGGTATAACAAAGTGAAAAAAAAGATACAAAGAAAAGAAAATTTATTTAAAAAAGAAATACTACCTGACAGATGGTGCCAACATATTCATTCACATATTTTTCCACTGGCTCATCGTTCCATTTATTGGTTCACTAAGAAACCATCTATGGAACATAACTTTACAACTAGCAGTGGGTGAGATGCGAACATTACCACCGGGTCCAGTTCTGCAAGGGATTTGTAGCAGAATGTGAAACTGGGAGGCACGGGAAATGAGTGTGGAAGACAATGTGTGAGATGCCCCTCACACCATCATAGCACCCCTACTCCAGCACACACACACATAGTCTCAGAGCTCTTTTACTGAAGGACAAAGTAGGACATAAAAGGTGAGGAGGATCCAGAGAGATTTGTAGAGGAGAGGTGACATTTCAGACGTGGAAACCCTGCTCTCAGGGCAGGATGGGTGAGACCTGCCTGGGGCAAGAATGTGCTGATGGTGGGGGACTGGTGCCTTTAAAAGGCCGTGTACTGGGCATGGTGTCCTGCTTCCAGTTACAGTCCTCACTTGGAATGAAATGGAACATAGAGGGCTCCAGGATGAGCCCCATATCTCATATTCAACAGCACACTGTGCAGGGACAGAGATGCCCTGACCCTGGGCTGAGTCTCCCTTAGGTTTCATATTGAGTCTACCTGGCCAATATGGCAACAGGTAGATGGGCCAAGAGAAGAAAATAACCCATAGAAGGGAACCTTCAAGGTGGCCCATCCTAGGCACACAAGCATGGATGCCAGGAGAGCACTGAGATGGAGAAGAGACACCCTCATCAGCAAGCATTCACGCCTCCTAAAGCACTAATTTTGCATCCTAGTCTTCCCAAGAGATGTATGTATCCCTGTATGCTAATGCCACCTGAAGTGAAGCTTCATGGACCAGAAGTGTGGCCACTCTTAACTGTACCAAATTCCTTTTCTCCTTGCATCTCACATTCACACATTCCACAGGTGTTCTCAGAGCTTCTATAACATACTGTCCTAAATGCAGGGTGATAGTAGACAAAGAGAAAGACAACAACTCAGATCCCTTCCTCATGGAGCTTAAATTCAACTGCACAGAAACAGGTATTAAGCATAGAGAGTATTGTCAGGGTGCATCTTCTAAGTGGGTGGTCAGAGAAGGGCTGTCTGAGCTAGTGGTCTGTGAGTGAGGCTGGGAAGGTGGTGAGGAGTGTGCCTCTGGGAAGAGCAGTGACAGGGCCCTGAGGGTGCTGACAGATCAGTGAGGGGCCAGTGTAGTGGGAGCCCAGTGACTGTGTGGGGAAGAGAAGGCAACAAGATCAGACAAGTAAGCAGGGGCAGAGAGGGGCCTTGTGGGCTGCTGTGAAGTGTGTGGTCTTCTCCAAGGGAGGTGCATGCCCCTGGGGGCTCTCTGCTGAATCCTCTGGACAACAACCTAGATGCTGAGAACTAAGGGAATTGTCCCTGTAAATACAGCTTCCAAAGCAGGGTCCAGGTCTTATTGGCCCTCCATGGTAGTCAGGGCATCACCATGGAAACATGGGCTCTGCATTCCGCCTCTGCTCAAGGGTCTCTCATCTCAGCTTCATCTTGTCCTTTACAGCAGCTTTCTGGGACCATGTGTATCAGAATCTGCAGGGCAGGTGTCACAAGTCACACCCATACCTACTTGCTGAGGGTTCTGAGGCTACTACAGTGCCCTAATAAATTCTCAGACCCATAGGGTTAAGTGACTAATGTGCCTGGAATTAAGGAGCCAGTGTGGAGCCTGGGCCCCCAGGCCTACTGTGCACCACTCTCTCTCCAAGCACCAACCCCAGGCTTGGGATGTGCATAAGGCACATGCATAAGAAAGGGAGGCCTCAGCCAGACTCCATGCCAAAGGTTAGAGAACCACCTAGGAAAGGGTGTCCTCCCCAGGAATCAATTCAGGGTTCCTCTGGGTGCTAGAGAGAGCTGGGATTCTCCAAGGGAGAGCAGGCACCTTAAAAACCACCCTTCTTCTGAGAACACTTCCAGGCAGCCTTCTCAAGACCCAGCCCATTCCCACTGGGAGCTACCATCTCTCTGTAAAGGACAGTTGGATATTTGCTTGTTCCTCATCCTGCAAAGCCTGGCAATGTTATCTATTCTTTCCAGCTTAAATATCTTCTTCCTCTTTCAACCAAAATGCAAGCTCTGCAAAGATAAACCCACAGTTGATGCATCTATAACCCAAGCCAAGTGCCACTTTTGGCTCTTCATTCTCATTGCTGCTTTGTTGAATTCTCCCTTCTTTTTGGTCACACTCAGACTATCCCATATGTGACAGTATTACTTGGATAACACCCTTAATAATAGTACCTTTGCAAAGCTCAGGAGAATTCACCTGATGCTATAGCAGGAAGATGCAACTTTATCCTGACAACTCAATAAAATAAAGCCTTGGTTCAATTAGTTGTCACTATGTGACAAATAGCCTTCCCATTTACACATGAGCAAACTGAGACTCAGGGACATTGAGTGGCTTTCCTGAGAGGTCCCTCCTGGAGGTGGAGCTAGCAATCAAACACACACCTGTCTGACCCAGAAGCCCTTCTCTTTATCCCCTTCCATATTACCTCTCTGAGTCTCAAATTTATTACCTGTTAAATGAGGTTATGTTTCCCTGATAAGTGGGATTAAATTTATATACAAGTGAATGCTCAAGCACACAGCTGGACAATGAAATATGAGCTCCCTTTCCTTCACTCTGTAGAATATTTAGGACAAATCCTTTCGATCAGGCCTGAGTATGGACGACTGAGCCACATCCATTTCCACCCTTCCTGCACTTTAGTTTAATAACATATTTAACACCCTGCACAGGCCCCATTTACCCTCAATGAACATTTTCTAAGTGTAGGAGCATGGCTCTACACACCCCAAGTTCCTGTCACTTACACACTATTGGCTCATATTTGGGGTAAGAGGAATCAGAAGATCCTAGGGAAGCCCTGACTGGTATGGCTAAGTAGAATGAGCATCAGCCTGTGAACCAAAGTTCACTGGTTCGATTCCTGGTCAGGGCAGATGCCTGAGTGGCGGTCCAGGCCCCCAATTGTGGGTGTGCAAGAGGCAACTGATTGATGTTTCTCTCGCACATGGATGTTTCTCTCCCTCCCTTCCTCTGTCTCTGAAAATAAATACATAAAATAAAAAAGAAGAAGATCCCAGGGGAGAAATCAGGACAGGTGGGTGATGCAGAGAGGAGACACATGGAGGCTCAGGACAGCCAGTCATTTGACAGCTGGTAAAGCACTGTTTTAGATGGACTGAGTGTCTAGGGGACTTCTCCTTCCAAGGAGGTGGGTGTCCATTTCCAAGGCTTCCACAGCACAATATCTAGGGTTGCTGAGTTGGTTACAATTCCAAAGCCCACCCCTAGGACAGGCCCATGGTCCCAACTCTACCTGGATCCCCTTTCTGGCCCTGGGGGCCCTCTCTCCCATCTCGTCCATCACGACCAGGCAGGCCATTCTCCACAGGGCCACACATGACCAGGGTGCAGGCATCGGGCACTGTTTTCTGGGAATAGTTCATTTCTGTTCCCAGTGACTTTGGAGGCTCAGTGAACAGGATCAGCATGGGGAGGAAGAGGAGAGGCACGGCCTAGGCAGGTGGGTAGGAAGAAAAAGGACACATTCTCAGTTCTAGAACATGGGTGAGTGCTTAGCACAGCTCCTAGAGGTCAGGGGAGGCACATCTCCTACCTCCTCTTCCCTTCTGTGGGATCAGGAGCAGCAGGAATCCCAAAGCAGTTTAGGACAAGTGGGCACATAGCCTAGTCTGAGAGGGCATGGTTACCTGGCTGAAACTCGAACATGGGTTCACAGCAGCATCTATCTCTTCTCAGATGTCCCATTTTGTTCCTTCTAGTGACTTCCCTTGATTGCTGTCATCAGCAGTGACAGTGGCTAGGATGTAGAACTCCTCACTAAGGCCATCTGTCCCATCAGGAAGGATTTACAAGTGCCTTTGGGTAGTATCTTTCCCCTTCTTGAAACTCCTTCTTCCTGACTGCATCATTAAGTTGGAATGGGGACCGAGGCGGGGAGGGCTGGGGTGGTGGGGAGCGGTGGAGGGAAAAGGCAGAACACTGTACTTGGAAAACAGTTAAAAAATTGTAAAAAAATTAAATTAAATAAATGTTAATGCAAACTAAAAAAATAAGTTGGCTTGGCTCCAAAAAGGCAAATCTGTTTCCTATCACTTGTGGCCTTGGATGGACTGGTACTGGCAGTCTACAGTGCAGGTCTGAGTAGGAGCTAAAGACCAAAGGCACTTAGTGACACTTGTCCTGAGCACAACATGAGTACACGGCTGCATGTTCACCAGGTCATTGGGGCATTCCTGGACTAGACCCTGTCTCCATGAAGAAAGTTCCAGATGGGCCCAAGGCAAAAGTTCTCAGAGATACTATATTAGCAGCTGGAGAGATCCTAGGACACTTGGAGTCCTGCTCAGTCTACCTGAGATGACTTGGAAAAGGGGCCTCAGGGACAAGGGGCCCCTCTGAGATGTGCTCAGTCAGGGACAGGGTAGTTTTAGGTGTAGGAAAGAACAGATGTCCAGTAGGACATCCAGTTACCATGTGAGGGAGACTTGGGAGCTAAGATTTGCATTCTGGGCAAATCTCCCACTGAGAAAAAGAAGCAGAGTGAGGGCAGAAGAGTGTTCCTGTTCCCCGACTCTGTCCCTGTCTAACATCCACACCCACACCTCCTAGACCAGAACACCTACTGCCTTCCTCAACACCAGTAAAACAGACCACCCCTGATGGGCCTGGGGATATTCACTCAGCACAGGAAAAACAACACGAGAGGCAAGGACAGAGACACTCACCATTGCTTCCTCTGGGATTCCAGGATCTCCAAACAAACTAGCCTTTCCTTGGCAGGCACTGACTGTTTATGCTGCCCTGAAACCCCAGCTGCCCAGCCCTACTCTTTAAGAACTCTTTAAGAAGTGGCGGTTTTCTTTCTTGTTGACTCACTCCCTCAACCCCCACCTGGGTTCTGGAAACTTGCCACCAATGTTCCTAGCACCATACACATATCACCTTAGGGTGTACAAAGCACCCTCAGTCCATAATCTCACCTGCACCACACTGCAGTTCTGTGAGTTAAGTTGTATCCTCGAGTTCTGGTTTTTATAAATATCCAGAAATACGAGGTCCAGAGAAAACCAGAAAGTTGCACTTAACTATTAACTATTTACTACTAACTACTCCATAACTCCATATTTCAAAAGCAACCTGCATCCAGATTTCAGCCGCCAGGACCTGCTGTCAATTTGTCTTCATCCTTCACTTCAACATTACTCTCCAGATAGTGGGAAAGGGCTGGGAGCTTCTTGGCATTTCCAGGCAGGGGTCTGGCAGGTGAGGAGTTGCAGAGTCAGCAGCAGCCTATAAGGACAATGCCCGGGGAGCTGCCACTTGCCAGGGGTCACTCTTTTGCTTCCTGCTCTAGTTGTTGGAGAGCCCCTCACTTGGCATTTGTGGAATGGACTTCCCTTAACTTCCTTCCCCTCATCTCCCCACTTCTTTAGCTGGGCTTTCCCTGAGTACTGCTCTAGTAACCAGTTTGGAGCCCTGAGCTGCTGAGACACTATTACAGCCAATTCCCAGTGAACTTTATCTTCCAGTGACTGTGGGACAGTTGTCTGCCCTCCTGTTGTTTCTATCATTTCTGCTTCCTACTAGATCCCTAGGTCTTCATCTTTTGTAGCAATCCTTTGCTTAGGTCCATACACCAGAAGCCCCATGTCCACAGTCCTCCCTTTTGGCCACGCCTTAGGTGGTGCTGACTTGCTCCTGTTTTGGATGCTTCTGTGGCATCTCCTTACACATTGTAGAGTCTACAATACCAGGTTTCCTCAGCTGGTAGGAAAAGGTCTTTTACTTCCCATATTGTAATTGTTGAAGCAGGATCCCATAGTAGAGCAACATGTGCCCCAAGCAATAAAGCTCTTTCATTAGTAACACACAGCCCTTTCCATCTAGGCTGTCCAGGTGTCTCCCAGAGATCTAGATCAGCATGGAGGCTGAACTACACCACTGCTCTCCTGCCCCACAAGGCCTACTTGTCAAGCCTTATCCTGATAGTTCAACAAACTCCTATTCATGGTCACTTATTTCAGAAGCCCTATATTTTATCATTCATTGCAATTTAGTTTCTATTAATTGCTACTTCCTAACCTGTTGAATACTTCCCTTATAATGCTCTGGGATCCCATTACATAGCACAGAATATAATATTTCCTTTGTCTAACTCCACATTACAACAGAGTCTAGTTTTATTTATGATCCAACCCAGACACTCTGTTTCAATTACTATCTTTGCTTTCCTCAGTTACACCAACACAGATGAGAATCAGGTCTTAAATGATGATCACAATGGCTTTCATGCAGAGAACCACTGGGCCAACCTATCTTCCCAATATGTGGTCTAGGATGATGACTTGGTTTCTTTGGGTACTGGCTCCTGATGCCATACTGTAGCCTCAGCAATACCTGCAGCCCCTAATAGACTGCATGAGCTGCACTTTTGTCAGAGCTAAGCTGAACCTCTGATAGTGGGTTTACCAGCTGCTTGCCCACATTACTGCTGAAACTCCCAGCTCAGCAGACCCATGACATTTTTTATCACTGCCAGCCAATAAGGCAGTGATTTTTCACCAGTATGCCACAAGAATTTTTAAAACATGCAATATACCTAACTATTTTGTCAGGGGCACTGACCTCTTTTCCCTTAGACTGTCAAATAAAAAAAAATGATAAGAGTCAACATAAAAATAGCCATCCAGTGTGAATAAATCAAAATTATACCTATTTTTATTAGATCAGTGAAAAATATATTTTATGGTGTAGCACAGAATTTTAATAATTATGTGTGCTAATCACTGAGATTAAAAAGGTTGAAAATCACTGACACAAGAACTTTGTACACAAATAAACATTCAAGACAATAGCTCTAGACTCCTCACCTTAGCCTGATTTGCTATTGTTTGACCTCAATTTCTGGCTCCAAACACGTGGCCCCAGACCTTGACTTCAATTCTTGCCCCATGGGTGCCACAGTACTGTTGTTCTCAGTTACTCTCCTTGATGTTGGACCTTGATTGTTCTGTTTCTGGCTTGATACCTCTCTCTGACTTCTAAGCATATCCTATTTTCTTGGAGAATTTCTGGTATTTATTCATAGTATGAACAATAAACCTGAAACACACTCCACACCTTCACTTGATTTGAGCTGAGCTAGCTGTGTATTTAGTGACTGGGGAAGGAAGTGGGAATGCATGTGTGGCATAATGGGAACCTGTCTGGCTCTTGGAGATTGAGACATCTCAATCTTCTTATTCTGAAACCAAAAACAATTGCATTAACACTGATCTATTATTTTTTACTTCCCTTGAAGTAAATCACATTGAATTACATGCTTGATATATCCATTTCTTATCCCCCCTCCATGTGAGAGTCCCCAACAATTTCAGTTCAAGGTGACCATGCCCACATTTTCAGTCATTCTATGCTATCTTCTTTTGTGATTTGTGTTCTCATGTTCTTTCCCTTGCCTTTCAATGAAACCATGAAGTTGTGTTTAAACCACTATATTCGCTTATGATTAACATACAAAAAGCTGTACACATTTAATATACAACTTGATGAACTTAGAATAGGTATACACCTGTGAAACCATCAAGGCTATAAACTTATCCATCATCTTTGGAAGTTTCCTCCTGCCCTTTTTTTTTCTTTCTATGTATTTATGATAAGAGCACTTTGCCTAAGACTTAACTTATTAGCAAATTTTTAACTGTAAAATAGGATATTGATACCTATAGGCCTTATGTTGCACAATAGATCTTTAGAACTTATCTATCTTGCCCAACTGAAACTCTAACCCTTTAACTGTTACCTCCACATTTCCTCCTCCACCCAGTTGCAGGAACAACTATCTACTCTTTGGTTTTATCCATTTGACTATTACAGATTCATCATAAAAGTGGTATCAGGAAGTACTTGCCCTTCTGTGTCTGGCTTATTTAATTTAGCATAATGTCCTCCAGCTCCATCCATGTTGTTGTAAATGGCAGAATTGATTTTCCTTTGTAAAACTGAATAATCTTCCATTATATGTATATAACTCATTTTTCTTTGTTTATCCAGGCTTATTGAAATAATGCATAATTGACGAATATAATTCTATTGTATTTAAAGTCTACAATGTGATCACTCAATATATACATTGTGAAAAGATCTCCGTAATCAAGTTAATTATCACAACTATCATCTCACACAGTAACTAGTTTTGAATTCATGAGAATTCTTAGGATCTACTCTCAGCAAATTTCTCAGTTATCCTTTGCTGGTGTGACCCAGTTGGTTGGAGTGTTGCCCTGTAACCAAAGGGTTGCAGGTTTGATTCCTGCCCAGGGCACATACCTAGGTTGCAGGTTGATTCCTGGTTTAGGTGCATATGGGAAGCAACCAACTGATATTTCTCTCTCACACTGATATTTCTCTCTCTTCCTTCCTTTCTCCATTCCACTCTCTAAAAAGGCAATAAAAATGTCCTTGAGTGAGGATTTAAAAATAGAAAATGAAATAAAATGTTCAGTTACACACATATAAGTGATACCATGTAGGATTTGTTTTCCTCTCTTTGGCTTATTTCATTTGGCCTAGTGTCCTCCAGGTTCACCCATGTTGTCACGAATGGCAGGATTGATCTCTTTTATGTCTGCATAATATTGCATGTACATATATATAGACATATGCATGAGTGTGTGTGTGTATAAACACACACACACATTTTCTTTATCCATTCATTTTAAGAGGACATTTCAGTTGCTTCCATATCTTGGATATTGTGAATAATACTACAATGATTATGGGAGTACAGATATCTCATGATAATTATGTTTTCTTTAGACATATGCACAAAAATAGAATTGTTGGATAATATAGGCATCCTATAATTATTTTTTAGGAAATTCCATACAGTTTTCCATATGACTGTGCCAATTACATTCTAACAAATAGTATACAAGAGTTCTCTTTTGAATTATACCTCAACATAACAAAGGCAATATATGACAAACCTACAGCTAACATCATACTCATGAACAAAAACTAAAAGTGTTTCCCTTACAATTAAGAGGTCCATGTTTACCACTTCTGTTCAACAGAGTACTAAAAGTCCTAGTCACAGCAATCAGAAAAAAAGAAGAAATAAATAGCATCCTAACCTGAAAGGAGAAGGTAAAACCATCCTTATTTGCAGATGACATGATATTATACATAGAAACCCTGAAGACTTCTCCCCCAAAATAATAGATATAATAAGCAAATTCAGCAAGTTAACAGAATACAAAATTAATATTCAGAAATCAGTGGCATTTTTGGTTTGCAGGCCAACACTCAATCCACTGAGCCACACCAGCCAGGGCAGAAATCAGTGGCATTTTTATACTCCAATAATGAACTGTCAGAAAGAAAAACAATCCCAGTTACTATTACAACAAAAACATAAGAAACCAAGGAATGCATTTAACCAAGAAGGTAAAAGACCTGTACTTGAAAACTATAGGATACTGAAGAAAAAAACTGAGGAAAATACAAATAAGTGGAAGCACATACTGTGTTCATGGACTGGAGGAATTAACATCATTAAAATGTCCATAGTACCCATAGCAAGCTATAGATTCAATGCAATTCCTATTAAACTGCCAATGAAATGTTTCACAGATTTAGAACAAATATTCCAAAAATTTATGTAGAACCAAAAATATACCAAATAATCTCAGCAATCTTGAGAAAGATGAACAAAGTTGGAGGTATAAGAGTAACTGACATAACCCTGGCTGGTGTAGCTCAGTAGATTGAGCGTGGGCCTGAGAACCAAAGGATCATGGTTCAATTCCCAGTCAGGGCACATGCCTGGGTTGCAGACCAGTTCCCAGCTGGCAACCCATGAGAAGCAACCATACATTGATATTTCTCTCCTTCCCTTCCCTTGAAAAGATAAATAAATAAAATCTAAAAAAAAAAAAGAGTAACGGATATAAAATTATACAAGCCCACTGTAATTAAAAAACAAACAAACAGGGACTTCTGGCCAAGATGGAAGCGTAGGTAGACACATTGTGCCTCCTTGCACAACTAAAATAAGGACAACAATTTAGAAACAAAATAACAACAATATACCAACAATTTAGAAACAACAATTTTCAGAACTGACAGAAAAGTAAACTGTATGGAAGTCCAACAACCAAGGAGTTAAAATAGATACATTCATGCAGACCGGTAGGAGGGGTAGAGTCATTGGGCCACTGGGCAGAGAGGGGTCGCAGCAAAAAAAGCAGTGGCATCAGGTGTGCAAGGCAGCAGCTGACAAACCCTGGGTGTGCAAGACAGCAGTGGGCGGACCCTGGGTGCACAGGTGGAGGCTGGCAGACCCCAGGTGCAAGGTGGCAATGAGCAGACCCAGCAAGGTGGAGACTGTGGAGTGGGGCAAGGTGCACAAGGCGGATGGCTGACCCGGCAGACCCACATTTCCATGCAGATAAACAGGCAAAACTGGGGAGTGAGACAGACTGCACAACCCAGGGTCTCAGTGCCAGGAAATAGACTGAAAACACCCATGGGGATTGAGGTGCCAGGAGAGACTCCCAGCCCCACAGTTCGTTGGAGAGACCTACAGGGTCCTACAATGTGCAAAGGCCCACCCACAGGGGAATGAGCATTAGAAAGGTCCAGTTTGCTTTGGGGAAGCTGCAGAAGGGACTGAAACCTGACAGAGACCAGAGCAAGTGCCACTGTTCCCTCTTGGCCCCTGCCCCCACATGCTCCTTAACAACCTAGCAATGTGGGTTGCCCTGCCCTGGTGAACTCTTAAGGCTCCACCCCTCACTATGTAACAAGCACGACAAGACCAAAAAAATGGCCCAAATGGAAGAATACATCAAAGCTCCACAACAAATACAACTAAGTGATGAAGAGATAGCCAACATATTAGATGCACAGTTCAAAGCACTGATGATCAGGATGTTCACAGAATTTGGTTGATTTTGGTAGCAAATTTGATGAAAAATGAAGGTTACACTAAGTGAAGTGAAGCAAAATGTACAGGGAACCAACAGTGATGGAAACAAAACTGGGATTCAAATCAATGGAGTGGACCAGAAGGGAGAAAAAAATGACCAAACAGAAAAGGATGAAGAAACAAGAATTCAAAAAAATGAGGAGAGGCTTAGGAACTTCCAGGACATCTTTAAACGTTCCACCATCTGAATTATAGGGGTACCAGAAGGGGACCAGGAACAGCAACAAGTGGAAAACTTATCTGAACAAATAATAAAGGAAAACTTTCCCAATCTGTCAAAAGAAATAGACTTCCAGGAAGTCCAGGAAGCTCAGAGAATCCCAAAGAAGTTGGACCCAAGGAAAAACACACCAAGGCACATCATAATTACATTAGCCAAGATTAAAATGAAGGAGAGAATTCTAGAAGCAGCAAGAGATAAGGGGACAGTCACCTACAAAGGAGTTCCCATCAGACTGTCAGCTGATTTCTCAAAAGAGACCTTACAGGCAAGAGGGGCTGGAAAGAAGTATTCCAAGTCATGAAATCCAAAGACCTACAACCAAGATTGCTGTATCCAGCAAAGCTTTCATTTAGAATGGAAGGGCAGATAAAATGCTTCTCAGATAAGGTCAAATTCAAGGAGTTCATCATCACCAAGCCGTTATTATATGAAATGTTAACAGGACTTATCTAAGAAAAAGAAGATAAAAATATGAACAGTGAAAGGATATCAAACTCACAGTTATTAACAACCACACCTAAAACAAAAGCAAACTAAGCAAACAACTAGAACAGGAACAGAACAGAGAAATGGAGATCACATGGGGGGTTAGCAATAGGGGAATGGGAGGAGGAGAGACAGGGAGAAGGTACAGAGAATAAGTAGCACAGATGGTGGGGAGAAGTTAGGGGGAAGGCAAGAGTAGTGTGGGAAATGTAGAAGCTAAAGAACTTATGACACATGGACATGAACTAAGAGGGGAATGTGGGTGGGAGGGGTGTGCAGGGTAGAGGGGAATGAAGGGGATAATGGGACAACTGTAATGGCATAATCAATAAAATATATTTTTTAGAAAGTATGACAACTCAATGACATTAAAAGAGCCAACTGCATTTATTTATTTACTTAGTTATTTACTTACTTATTTTTAGAGAGAGGGGAAGGGAAGGAGAAAGAGAGGGAGAGAAGCATCAATGCATGGTTGCCTCCCACACACCCCACACTGGGGACCTGGCCCACAACCCAGGCATGTGCCCTGACCGGGAATTGAACTAGTGACCCTTTGCTTCACAGGCCTGTGCTCAATCCACTGAGCTACATCAGTCAGGGCCCAACTGCATTTTAAAATAGGCAAAGGACTTAAGCATTTCTTCAGAAGATATATACAAGACCCATACATATGCTGCCTACAAGAGACCCACTTCATATCAAAATACAAACAGACTGAAAGTAAAGGGATGGAAAAAGGCATTTCAGGAAAATGGAAACAGAGAAAAAAAAGCTGGATAGCAATACTTCTATCAGAAAAAAAAAACTTTAAAACAAAGGTTATAACAAGAACAAGAACCCAGAAATTCCAGTTCTGAGTATTTATCTTGAGTATTTACCCAAAACCCTAATTTGAAAAGCATATGCACCCCTATGCAACATCATTTGCAAAAACCAAGATATGGAAACAACCTGAGAGTCCATTGATAGATGACTGAATAAAGATGTAATGCAAACGTACAATGGAATATTACTCAGGTTTGTCCTAGAGAAATGGGTTTCACAAAACTGGGCCATCTTTCCCTTATTGCCTTCAGACCCTTTCTGATGATTGTGGGATTGGGCTCAGCAAAAATGAGATTAACAATATTCGCTGAAGGTGAGTTATCTTCCGTTTTTTGCAGGGATCACTCTGTACTGTCCTTATTGCCTAATCTTCATTGAGGCATTGAGGAAACATCTATGAGAAAAAGGAAGAAAATTACCATTATTAGTGTTAAGACATTCCTGACCATGGTCTGAATTTTTATTTCATATAGTAGCTAATCTAATCAACCTCCAATAAATTGAAGTATCTGAGCAATACAGGTTGTGAGTTCTTCTCACAAGAACCCACAAGAACCTGGAGAACCCACCCCCACACTGCAGATTAAGAGATTCCATATATGTCTCTTTCTTTGCTTGCAAATGAAGAAAAGCTCTTAACAAGTTTGGAGTTTAAAATTCCAGAGTAAATTTTTCCCTTAAGTAATCCTTAGTTTTTGTTGGTCGCATTGGGATTACTTCCAACCAGGTTAGAGAAGCCAGGCTCCTCTTCCACATTTCGATATGAATAGAGCTCACCTGAACAGAGACATAGCAGGGTCAAGTCTCATCCATAACCCAGACCTGGAAAGTTCCAAATTATTTCTGAACTTCAAGTATGACACCATTTGTGAACTAGAAGAAAAATCAAAGCACTACCTCAACAATTATTCCAGGATAGCTCTTTCAATTTGGGGAAATGTTTTTTGTTTTGTTTTGTTTTGTTTTTTTTGGTTTCTTTTTACTTTTTAATCCTGTTAATTTTTAACTATACATGATAGTAAGAGAGAAATCCATTATGAACTTGATGATCCCATCCCTCAACTCTAATATATAACAATATATTGCCAATCTTATTTCACCCACCCACCCACTGATCTCCTCAACAATCTTCCCTCATTATTCTAAAGTGAATCCCGGATATACTGTTTCACCCCAAAATAGTTCTATATAGTAAGTCCTCACTTAACATCATCGATTGGGTCTGTGACTTTAAGTGAAATGATGTATAAGGAAACCAATTTCACCACAGACTAATTACTATAAGCAGTATCTAAGTTCCTATGGCATCTCATCAACACTATAATGAAACATTAAATGATATTAGTTGAGGCCCTGCTGCATATCTCTAAAATATAATAAATCTTTTTGTAAACCAGTTCTCTGTTGATGGATATTTAATATTTAGGTTGGTTCTACTTTTTCTTTTTTCCCCAGTTACACTGACATATAATTGACAAAAAATCCCTTTTAATGTAACCAAAAGTTCATTTTAAAATACCTGAGGAATGTAGACTGGTACAGCCACTATGAAAAACACTCTGGAGGTTTCTCAGAAAATTAGTAATAGAGTTATCATATGACCCAGCTACCCCTCCCCTGGGTATCTACCTGTAAAAAACTCAAAAACATGTATTCGCAAAGATATATGCATCCCTATGACCACTGCAACATTTTTTGTGGTGGCCAAAACATGGAGACAACCAAAGTGTCCTTCAATAGATGATTGGATAAAGAACATGTGGTACATATATATAATGAGATACTATTCAGCCATAAGAAAAGATAAAATTCTGCCATTTGCAACAACATATGTGGACCTTGAGAATATTATGCTATGCAAATTAGTGAGAAAAACTTAAGAACCATATTATTTTACTCATCTGTGGGATATAAAACTGAAACTCATGGACACAGACAACACTGGTGGTACTAGAAGGAAGACACTGTGGGGTGGCGGGGAATGGAGGTGGCAAATATATGGCAAAGGAATATGGTCTACGGCCATACCACCCTGAACGCGCCTGATCTCGGAAGCTAAGCAGGGTGGGGCCAGGTTAGTACTTGGATGGGAGGAATATGGTTTGACTTTGGGTAATGGCACACAGTGCAACATACAGATATATAAAGTGTATCACTGAAATGTACACTTGAAACCTAAATGATTCTATTAACCAATGTCACACCAATATATTTAATAAAATAAAATAAAAATTTAGAGGAATTCCAGTCAAGATGATGACATAGGTAAACATGGCTCACCTCCTCATACAACCATGCCAAAATTACAACAAAAATAGAGAGCAGTTATCACTCAGAACCATTAGAAATCAAGTTGAATGTGACAACTACTGTGAC